TCTTTCATTTTCCTCTTAAACATTGCTAGGTTATTACCATCAGTGATAGCAGTCGGCAATGAGTTCCACATAGTTACTGATCGGTACAGAAAAGATCGCCTCCCAGTAGCAGATTTGTATCCCGGAATATCTAATTTGTTCTTATTTCAATCTAACATTTCGATCGTGTACAGTAGCCTTAGTGACAAAGCGGGAACAGAGATAGCTAGGCGCTAGTCCATTAACACATTTAAACGTGAGAATGCCAACAGTATATTTCAACATACTACTACTAGGAAGCCAATTTAAGTCTTTCAGGACAGGTGTTATGTGTTCGAATTTTCTCGAGCCTGTGACACTGAACCCTTGCAGCAAAATTCTGGACGCTTTGCAGTTTGGAGAAGTTCTTCTTTGATTTACTGGACCATACAGGAGAACAATAAAACAATCTACTAAATACCAAAGCGTGGATAACACTCTCCAAAAATTCTTAGTAAAAAAAGATGTTTAATTCTGTTAATCTGGCAGAGGCTAGCAAAACAAGATGAGACAGTGTTCATAATATGTTCATCAAAGCGTAGCGTTGTGTCCATTTCTATGCCGAGATCCCTCGCTGAGTTGGATGGAGTAAATTCTTTGCCTGGTAAAGTGACATGAAAATCTGTGGGAAGTCTTTGCAGCATCTAGCGATTTCCCATCACTAAGAGTTTGGTCTTATCGGGATTGATGAGGAGACCATTATAACAGTACCACGTAGCGATCTTAGCCAGGTTTTCGTCTATCAGCTGCACCACTGCGGTAGCATCTTTGACAGGAAACAACAAGTACAGCTTTGAGTCGTCAACAAATGATTCCAATGAGCTACTTACCGGAACGGTAGGTGAATCATTTATGTATAGGTTAAAGAGAGCCGGCCACAGTATCGAGTCTTGTGAAACTCCATGAGTGATCGGGACGAGGTTCAAGGTCTCAGAACCAATCCTGACATGGTGTTGGTGCCCGGTTAGATAACGTCTAAGCCATTCTAGTGCTGTACGACCAATTCAAGGAGCCTGTAGTTTGGAGAGAAGTCTGCAGTGGTGAATACTGTCAATGGCTTTGAACCAATCCAGTAGGACCACAAGGGTCAATTTCTTCCAATCCATTGCTTCTAGTACCTTATCCGTCATCATAACGTTCAGTGTTTCGCATGAGTGTACTTTTTTATTGCCAGTTTGATGTTCAGTGAGGCACCTGTTGTTATTCGTATAGGTGGCCAGCTGGTTCAGAGCTACTCGTTCGCACACTTTAGATGCTACAGGCAAAGCGAGACTGGGCGATTATTATTAGCAATCTCGTGGTCCCCTTCTTTCAATAATAGAACGACCTGAGATTTTTTCTTAGCTGACGGGAAGACTGAGGTCAATAAGTAACGGTTAACAATAACTGTAAGAATTGGAAGAATACATGGAAGGGCATCCATAAGTACAGAAGTTGACACTTTATCGTGACCCGGGGCTTTGTTTGACGGTAAAGACATCACAATCCTTTGAATCTTTCTTTCAATCCTTCTTTCAATAATGGAACGACCTGAGATTTTTCCTTAGCTGACGGGAAGACTGAGGTCAATAAAGAACGGTTAACAATAACTGTAAGAATTGGAAGAATACATGGAAGGGCATCCTTAAGTACAGACGTTGACACTTTATCTTGACCCGGGGCTTTGCTTGACGGTAAAGACATCACAATCCTTTGAATCTCCCTACTAGACACTGGTTGGAAACAAAACTTGTCCACTTCTGAGATTTCATTATCTGGAACAACGGCCAATAGAGAATTTGCGCGTTGTTGTGTTGCTGTTTCTATTTTCTTCATTAAATGAAGAAATTTTCTGGTCGTCAAGCTGTTTTTCTTCATTCGATTCATCTAATGAACTTGGATCTATATTTGCCAGCCANGCGCGGCTTCCTTTCAGCAATGGGAGTAAAATTAATAAATTTTTTTTCCAAAAATTGATCTTATTTTCAAACTTCACATCTCCGTGCGACAATCTCCGCTATTTTTTTCAGACAAACTTGCTCAGTTGGTGAATCCCTAAGTTCAGTAAAAGAAAAGCGGCAGACTTGACAGAGCGGACACGATGATTAATAATACAAAAGACTTCAACGTCGATTCTACCGTCAAAAACTCCAGCGAAACAAAAAAAAATCAAGTCTCACATAGTTGCTTTGGTGTACTTAGGGTATGGCATTATATTTCTGGTGTCAATTTTTGGAAATTCTGCCATTATACATATAATTCGCACAAATAGCGCTATGAAGGCGGCCATAAACTACTTGGTTTTAAACCAAGCTTGGGCTGATCTTTTGGCCTCAATCATTTGCTTTGTAAGTGTTATTCGTGACATTTCCTACAAGGATTGTGGTTTAGAGGAAGTATAGGAAATATCACTTGCAAGCTATCTATGAGAATCGTTTATGTCCTGATAAATTTTTCTGTTTGGCTGCTTGTAACAATTGGCATTAACCGCCTTTATGCAATAACTCGCCCATTGCAAAGAACGCTTATATCTCGAAAACTGAAAAGAGTCATTTTGGTATTTTGAACGGGGTAATTTATTTCTTCAACAAATGTTTCTTACAGCATGGGCATAGA